TCTGTCATTCCTTATTCTTGCATCCTGTATATAGTGGGGTTACTCTTAAATATGATTTTCTTGTTAACAGCAATTCCATTTTCTCTGTAGACATTATGGAGGGGTGCCACGTATTCCACAACAGCATATCTGTTCTGATTGTCTTGTCTTCTCATCTCTCTATCTTCTGTTCTCCAGTTTGTCAATCCTTTATTATTTTGTGCTTCACCCCAAATGTACCATCTCTTTGATGTATTCTACACTCACTGGCTAATGAATTAGAAACCCATGCATATTAAGTAAATGTAATTTTGTAGCTTATATGCAAAACACTTGAGTCATGTGTTTATAAGCTCCTATTTAAGAATACTGTTGGTCAGTATAGTCATTAAGTTTATGAAAATGGGAAAAGCGAAGGACTTAACAGAGTTTCAGAAAGAGCTGATTGTGGGTGTCTGTCTTGCTGGAGCCACGATATCAAGAACCGTAGAGCTGACTGGTTTTTCCAAAGGTGAGATATCCTGATTGTTCAATTGGTGAAAAAATAGTTCTCAGTCTATGTCTAAAAGAAGTAACTGTGACTCCAAAACAGTTAATGAGGAGCACGACTGACATCATCTGAAAAGGCTAGTGTGGAAGAAAGGACTTCCTCTGTGCAGCAATTGATGGAAGAATTTAATGAATCCTATCCTCGACCCATATCTATCTGAACTACATGCAGGGAACTGAAAAGTACAGGTATGAACAGTCAGGGAGGCCTATACAAAAACCACTGATTTCTGCAAAGAACTGGAAACTTTGTCTACAGTGGTGCCAAGAGCACCGTGTTTAAACATCCGAGGACTGGAAAAAAGTAATGTGGTCAGATGAATCACGGTACATTTTATTCTGTACTGACGGTAGACAGAGGGTTTGGAGGGAGCTCCCCGAAGCAATGGACCCTACCTGCCTCATTAATATGACTTAAGGTTCTGCTAGGAGTATTATGGTATGGGGCATGTTCTGTTGGGATGGAACTGGTCTGCTGATATTCCTGGAAGGTTGGGTGACTTCCAACGAGTACCTGAACATTGTTGCTGATCAAGTTCATCCTGCAATGTTGCATTTTCCTGCACGTGACAGCTCTTTCTTTGATGACAATGCTACTGTCCATCATACAAAAATTGTTCAGCAGGGATCAGCGAGCACGAAGATGACTTTCGCCACCCACCCTGGTCACCACAGAGCCCAGATCTTAACATATGAGAACATATTGATCCCATTGAGAACATATGGGACATATTAGAATGACAGATCCGCCAGCAAAGTCCACTTCTGTCAAATCTATGCAAACTAAAGGAAAGTCTAGTGAATGCCTAGTGTGATTGGACTTAGAAGCACTTCAGCACCTTGTAGAATCTATGCCAAATCAAGTAAATGATGTGATTTGAGCTAAAGGTTGTCCAATAAAATATTAAACTGCTGTTTCTAATTCATTGGCCAGTGAGTGTAGTTTCCTTATCCTGTCCTGTACATTAGTGCAATAAGAATAAGTTCGTTTTATAAGAGCCCTGAATGCTGCTAATCTATAGCTTACTGGATCATGTGAGATCCACTGTGTAAACAGGAAAGCAACAATGCTGTGCACTTTCTTAACATCTCGATCACATTAAAGAGCAGTGTAAACACAGATATTTATAAGCCAAACAACCCAATATTTATACCATGGGCTCACATCGCCCAATAGTAAGCTATAGATTAGTGGCATTCATAGATCTTACAGAAATTACAAAGCTGTCACTTATTCTGTAAACCATTACAGAATAAGTGGCAGCTTTGTTCTATTTAAATTGTAAAATTCAAATATCTCCCGAAGGAGGTCTATTAAGAAGACCAAAAATGTTAGATTAATAAATATTTACTTCATAGTAAATGGCTTTGTTTTTGTGGTTAATGCTAGTGCAGTTACAGAAAGGATTAAACTAGTCTTAATTAGTGATGTGCCGGGTATCCGTATCCATGGATATCCGAGGGAAAAAAGATTCATATCTGTATCCGTTACTTTTTAGTGGATCTTTAACAGATCTTTTATCTTAATGAATTTCATTACTTATATGAAATTTTAAAGATAGGTAGCAATAAAATACTAATAACTTCAATTCAAATTACTTTTTATTTCTTAAAATCACATATTTGGCACATTCATATTGCAAAAATTTTATCATGCAAAATTCATTTACTATCGTAAAATATTTCCACATTACACTACTCAGGAACTTTTTTGTCGACATTGTTTTTATTTTAATTTAACTCAACACTCTCCAAACGTAAACGTTATGGAAACGTAATCTATGCTATCCCGTGTCGCACTAAACTATAAACAAAAACACGTGCAGTTCAAGTCAAAACACGTCGCGTTACTAACGCAAAGCGTCAACTATCGGTCCAAGGTCACACGCTGACTGAGTACGAAACTTGAAATCTGTATCAGCGGATCTAGACACTAATGATCCATATCCGTATCCGCGGATATACATTTTTAACGGTCCGGCACATAACTAGTCTTAATGATAACCCAAAATAATTCAGCAGATAAGGTTTATGTTTGTAAATTGATTTAGGCTGGTTGACATTATTTCAAAAACTTAACTTCTAACTCTAATTCTCGATTCTTGGTTGCGAGCACAGTCGTTAGTGGTGTACTTGATTAGAGAAATCATTAGAAAGATATGTAAATATCTAGATCATTTTATACAATTGAGTCTTTTTTTCCTATCGTTTTAAACATATCCAAAGCCAAAATATATATCGAAACTGCTGGATTTTATTACAGGGTTATTTTTAAACCGATTAGATATTAATCACAAACAAATTTGGCACTAGAGGTAATAAGAGGCTGTTACTGTCTCTTGATAACTTAATGATTAACCAATGATTAGTTTTAATTTTGGCACTAGAAGATGATGATACCGTCTACCTCTAGTGCCAAATTTGTTTGTAATTAATTTCTAATCAGCTTAAAATAGCTTGGTAATATAATCCGGCAATTCTGACGCATACTTTGACTTTAACTAAATCCAGGCTTATTGTTTTTGTTAGTAAATATATCTGAGCATAATCTTTATTTATATAACTGATATTGTAATAAACATTTACAAGAGTTGCATAAATGTAGTGCCATACATTAAGTACTAAAAATGATGAAGTATACTATTACATTCTTCATTATGTTTGTATACTTAATGACATTTAAAAGCAACAAGTGAAATCATAGGTATCTTAGTCATAACCAAAGCATTGTGTCATTTCTAATAAAATAAAATGCTGCTGTTTTAGTAGACTTTGAAATATATTTTAAAACATTTATTAAGGTTGATTAATGAAGTTAATGCTTAATTTTCTTCTTCTTCTGGTACCATATCTTCTAAGGACATCAGCAATCACTCTGCCCGACGTTTGCCATTCTAAATAAATAAACTTTTATCATTCAAATTCACTGTCATAGATTATGTTCAGGTTTTAATTACACAAGAGTTTATTAAATAAATTCAATAACTATTAACTTGATTTTTTTATAAAACCTTTCCATATTTTAAATTTTTAGAAGCTACTCTAGAAAATTATTCATGTCAGTTGAATCAAGAGTGTTCTATTTTAAGTAATAGTTGAGTAATTTGAAATCTTAAACATATGCAAATTTAACGAATTTTATTGTTATTTATTAGTAATAATAATAATAATAATAATAATGTTTTATAGCTTCCTCAGTTTTCGTTTCTACTTATGCTTCATCTATAAGATGGCGCATAAAAATAGAACACATAAAACCCACAACTTGGCATTAGTCAATGCAGATTTCGATAAGATGAATGAGTCACATACAGATGTCGTAAGAGTTAATGGCTCGAAAATAACAGGGTTTCATCAAATGATCTCGTATAAGTAGGTCAATATGTATTCATTCATCATACTTGTATACCATTTTGTAATTTTTTTGTTTTTTAAATTGTGAATTCATGCAATAAAATATTATTTGATAGAATTCAAGTTGTATAGTATTTATAAAAGGCCATTATCTAATTATTCTCGGTATTGTTTTTTGTTTATATAAATATTTATTTATTTATGGTTGAAACTTTTGCTTCCAAGAAATTGGCTTGTTTTAATTACTATATTAGAGTGCTTGTTTGTTGTTTTGATTCGATATTAACATGTTAAAATATGTCAGTAGCAGAATTATATTTACTGGTATTATTTATCATTATCTAATAGAAAAATACTTAATTTCGAGTAATTGGTATCTGTTGCGTACAAAATAATGTTTAGATATTATAAAACGTGTATTTATCATTCAAAATTAATAAAATAATTTTATTAGATTCGGTTCAAACAAAAATTGTTTAGAAGACTCTAGTGCTTTCAGACTAGGAATCAAGAGAAAAATAAAGATTGAGAGAACATGCCAGATTATTACTAATAGCATCCCACACTGGAGGAAATATAAATAAAGCAAGAGAACATCCTTATGACTGTCTCTTATATTTTAAATTATCACATTCCATCATATGTTCTATTCTGGTAGTTGGTGTAATGGTGATGTCGTGCTTTAGGAGCTTTTGGCCATTTCTAGTAAAGTGGAATTTAGCATTGTTTTGAGAAATAGCTCTGTTTTTCACTTTTAAATTTTACCCCATTTTTGAAGGTCTTCAAAATTCCAGAAGGCTGATTTTAGGGGGCTATTTCTCTCAAAGGTCACATATAGATCATTGGTTCCTATTTTACTCCTTTGGCCATGGTCTGCAGCTCCGATAAAGTCCTGACCACCTCATTCAGAGTTGCAATATAACCCACATTGAAGATTTATAGAGAGTAAAAACAAGATATTTTATTACAACTTAAGTTCTTAAATTAATAAATTTATTTATTATGTAATTATTTTCTAAATTATTAAATATTATTAATTAATCTATATACTATTTTTCAGCAAAATTCGCAAATCTCTTTTGTTAAAGATCAAAATTTAAATTGATGATTATTTGCAGATTTTGATAGGAGTTCCCGATCATTCTCAACGTGTCAAAATATTGGAATCTCTCACCGAGTCACTTGTTCTCTCCAAAGATGTCAATTTTAGTACGATTGCGGACAGAACTCCTGGTTATGTTGGAGCAGATTTGAATCTTATAATTAAAGAAGCTGCTTTGAATGTTTACAGGAAGATAATAAAAGGAATCATTAATGAGGTATTTGACATAAGTTGTCAGTCATATATTGAAAAACACTGTGTTGTTATATTCAAATTTAGATGATTATTACAGTTTAATGTGCAAAAAATGTAATGTTTTATTTACCATTCAGCAGAAGGACAGCTTTAGGGTCTTTAGAAAATTTATCAGGGGCACATTTACATGCCCCCTGATAAATTTTGATCTCAACTTATCTCTCAAGGAGAAATGAATTTGAAAAATGCTATATCTCAACTCGTAATTAATAAAATTAAGCTTGGTACAGTAATTTTATTATGTTCTGGGGTAGTTAATCAAAAGAAATACAAAAAAAACAACATTTTAATCAGCAATTGCTTGTTGTTCCCTTAACATCTCCATTATGATCTCAATAGAACCTGTAATCTCAGGAAGCCCTTGGTAAGAAATTGCAGATTCTAGACACATATCTTCTTCCTCTTGTAAGTAAATTTTATTTAAAAAATTAAAGAAAAGAATATGATAAATTATATAGTTTAATGTAAATATATTATATAATTTTAGAATTTTTTGTTGGCTAAATGGCTTCACGGTAAGGTATAGTAGCATAGTATCACGAGGGATGCAAGTTTAAATCCAATTCAGATTCCCATAATTTATTATGCACAGTATGGTTGGAGCATCATTTTCCATGCCTCATTCAAGCTGGTTGACTTTACTATCATATAGTCTAAATGTGCAAGTAACTTGAATTTATTAAAAATTTTTATACTCCAAAATTGTTATAGATTATATGTTATAACTTCATTAAGAAAATTTTTGTATGCTCATACAGTATAATAGGGAACAATACATTATTTATCATTATTGATACTGTGGTCCAAGGTGTTGTTCTGTGTTTCTAGATTGTGAGTTTGCATCTTGCTTCAAGTATTAAAGTTTATATTCATTACTTTTTAATGAAGAATTGCTGTTTACAAGTTTCACTCAGCATTGCATATAATTAAATTGATAAAAATAAAAATAAATACTTTTTACCACAGATTAGATTTCATATTAATATTCTAGACATTCTAGATGAAGTTCAAATCAAAGTTTCCTATAACATATACACATTCTTCCAAAAAGAATGTTACCATTTTAAATTATTGTAATTATGTTAATTATTATCCAAGAATATTATAATGTACATGTCAAACTTGAACAGCTTTCCAATGTTTTAATTTGCCCGTTACAATTTCCCAATGCATTCAAATTGTGTCAAACAGTACATATCTAACCAATACTCAAATTCTTCCTACACTTACTACAGCATATCCATTGTCACATTGCAGTCACAATTCTACTCTCCTGCAGATGACGAGTTATTCCGAACATCACACAAAATGTCTCTGTTGCAAAATTCCTAGAGATGCTCGAATGCAGATGGGAGATGAAATTCGGACAGTTACGCTATCAATTAGTATATATTACGTACTTCTCAGGTAATAATTACAATAATTTAAAATGGTAGCATTAAGTTTTGAAGATCCTATATTAATAGAAACATCTGAGATTAGAGGGCTTTAATTATATTGAGCATTGTTATAGGTGGAAAACTATAGGCACTAAAAAGACCTTTTATTATGCCCATCAAGGTTTAGGCCAGACTCATAATAGAGGTGGTTAGAGGGGAAAGGATCCAATATATCCATGTAGACCTACTTCTGAAAATTTCTGACATGACCCAAACTTGAATTTTGATCCTAAGAATGGCAGGATCATGCCTTTACCACTCAGTCATCAAAAATTAGGCTTTAGTGATCAATATGCTGACGATCACGCCAAAATACTATATTGTAAAAAGAGAAGACACTACGATTAAAAAGTACTAGCAATTAAAAAAAAAACGCACACGTAACGCCGACCTCAGTGTCTTCTCTTTTTACAAAATTAGGCTTTGTTTTAGATTGTAAAAAAATATTTGATAGACATTTAATTATTTCAGTTTTGTCAATAAATTCATTATTAATAATTTTTTCTAGGCTAAAATTTCTATGGAAGATCTACAGTATGCTCTAACTGTGGTAAAAGCCTCCACTCAAAAAGGGTGCATTTGGCACATCGATGTCAGTCCCGTCCACTGGGATGACATTGGTGGAATGGAAAAAGAAAGAATTAAGATGGTAGGAAATTCTTATTATTTTTTAAAGCATTTTATGGTAATTATTAATTTATATTAATAATACTATGGTAAACAATTATTACACTATATACATATAGTAAAATTTTTTATTTGTTTAATAGCAATTCATTTATAAGCCTTCAGGGCTAAAGACTAAATTTGTTAAGGATGATAACATTATAAAATAATTTGAGCAAATTTTAATAAGTCATTAGTTTGAGATTTCATATATACACTAGCTCACAAAAGTATCTGGACAGAAGAAATAAATAAAACAAAATATTTTATACTGTTAAGAACGAGTTGGGCTTCCTTTTGCTCTGATGACAACTAGGCATCGATTCATCCAAATTTTTATAATAGTTTTGTCTATTAAATTCAAAACTCTGATTATGATTTAAACTTTTAAGATCAGTTTTGTTTGTTATTGATTCTGTTCTGATTGTTCGTTCAATGCAATCTTATAAATGCTCAATTGGGTCAAGGTTGGATGATTGTGGAGGCCAAGGAAGCACTTTTATACAGTGCACATTAAGGAATTGATTTTCGAAGTTTGCTTTGGATCATTGTCATGCTGGAAAACAAACCCTTACCCTGATTTTAATTTTCTTACCAGTTCATAAGCATTATTATTAAAAATATTTTTATACACATACTAATTATTCCGTCAACAAATTGCAGAATTTTGGCACTATTTCCAGACATACAACTCCAAATAGCACTAAACTGTCTCTGCATTTGGAATGATTTTACATTTACATTATTTTAGAACAATATTACATTTTCTTTAAAAATATTTGATAACCCCCTTAGAAAGGAGGGGCGGCAAAAATCATAACACAGTGCAAAACACGACGTCGTCATGGCACTTCAAATGGTTTCGTTTTATTTACTTTTATTCTTAATTGTACACTTTATTTAGTATATTATGATTTTTTTAATTTATATTCAATTTTATTTGTAACTTAATCAATAATCCCATTAATATTTTTAAAGAAAATGTAATATTGTTCTAAAATAATGTAAATGTAAAATCATTCTAAAATTAACAAAATTTCTTTTAACATGTTAACCGCCATCCAATGCGCAGCAGTTGTACTAATTAGGGCCGTACAGAGCCATACGATGGCCGGCGGTCAGAGCCAACTTTATAGATGTGCGTGAGAGGCCACCACTAGGATGTAAAACAATGTCTTACGAAGCCAGGATAATTTAAACTTGAGTGAAACTACATTGGTTATAGCGACGTCGGATGGTCAGATGGCTCTGTACGGCCCTAATCAGTACGACTGCCGGCGCTTTGGATGACAGTTAATGTGTTAAAAAAACCCGATGAAGCCGGAAACGTTAGTTTGATTAAAGAGTAATTTACTGGAAAAGTACATAAGGTAATTTGTGTCTCTAGTTACTGTCTAGTTCCAGCTTATGCCAGTATTGATACTTCACATTCTACAGAAGCCTCAACTTCAAGGTTAGGAACAATTATTCGTGGGTTTTTCATCACTTTCCCAACAATGACATGTTTCTGTCTTGAAGTAAATATTTCGGGAGTCTGGTTTGAGCCTTATTAACTGCACTATTTGTTGTAAGGAATGTCATAATGGTATCTTGAATTGTGGATTTTGGAATGTGAAACTTTCAAGAATTTGCACAGATTTCACCTTTTGCTATTCCTTAATAATGAATCCTTTAATAATAATGGTTAATTTGTTTGTTTTCATTGTTTGCAATGACAAAATAAAACAATTCAAGTACGAAACAAATACTTTAACTCATTTGTTGAGGCAAATTGTTGTAAACATGTTTTTAAGCAAATGATCTGGCATTTTCTATCATTCATTTCCTCTGATACTTTTGTATATTTACATTTTGTAAAACAACTATAAATTGTCAGAAAACTATGTTTATTAGAGTAAACTTTAAATATCAAGTCTCTGAAGATAATCAGAAAGACTTGAAAATGCTTGGATTTTAAATATTTCAAACTTCACTTCAATAAACCGTTAATTTTTTTTACAATTGGAGTTTTTTAAAGGCATGTCTATAAATGGTTTGCTTTATTAAAGTCATAAACATTATAACCTATTAAGCACAAAATTGCTATAAAGAACTTATCATACATGAACACTTCTTTTGATGGAAAAAATAGACTTTATTTTTTATTTATTGCTAATAAAGTCAACTTTTTCAATCAAAAAAAGTGTTTCTGTACGATAAGTTCTCTAGAATTAAGCACAAAATTGCTATAAAGAACATAAGAGAGAACAAATATCCTATATTTCAACATAATCATAACCTATATTTCAACATAATCATAACCTATATTTACAACCTATCAAGCACTTTCAGGCCGATCAAGTCATCTTTCAGGGAGTATACTGTAAGGAAACTTCTTAAAATATAAAAATTAAAGCTTTTAAATATACTATAATGTTCAAAGCATTATATTCTGAAAAGAAGACAATTTCTATCAAGTTTCCTGCTAGAAACAGATTTTTAGGATGAAGATAAAGAAAAGTTTTTGGGATTTTTGTAAAGTTAGAATGGATGTCAGTGCTCTCTGAGTTGAAGGGGATCATACAGACTATTATGTGTAATAAGAAAGAGTTGGATGATTTTTTTTTTTTAATTGTTAAACCTGACAATGCTGGTCACTCTGCATAAAGGATGATGTGGTCTCTAAGATGAACTTTCTGGCAGACTTCTGGCAAGAAATGATGATAGAAATTATCCACTTTAATCAGATAGCTTTTCAGTCATTGTGATACATTCAAAAGCTTTCATTTTGTGTTCTAAGAAGTAATTATTGGTAATATATTTTTCCTGAAGATGAATTAATCAGTCCAGAAGTACTTGGAAATCTTAATTTTCTGCTTTATTCGTGGTATATTATGTTCTTCGTATCTGAAAACCTCTTCCGGTTTCCTGACTTATAGTAAAATTTAACATAGAAAATCACTCTGTTCCAAAATTTATTCAATTCGGGTAGGTTCTGTTTTAGACAGGAATATGGCCACCGAAATACGGCGATACGTAGTCGAGAAGTACTTTCATTGCTCTACTAATCCCCAGATTTCTGCTTATGGAGTCAGATGAAGGGTGAGGTTTACTGTATACATGTCAGAAACTATTCACTCACATTACAAGTGCTGTTATCCAAATCAAGGAATGCTGGGATGACTTCTAATGAGTAATTTGTCATGTTCTTACAAGTGCATTGATATGGATGGTAAAATTTTTGAAAAAACCTGTTATAATACTTAACAGGCTTTATATGAGAGCACTTTTCTAATCCCGTGGTAAGCACAGGTACATTACTGTATGACATTCTTAACCTATCTTCTTCAAGCTTTGTAAAATTCTTTTAAAAATTTCTGAGAGATGATGGCATCACTGTCTAGCTTCAGGCCAAATTGCACTAATTAATTAATTAAAAATCATATAAATATAACTTTAAAAAACCAACAAAATTTTATTTATGTGGGTTCACCACTGATTTTATGGTACTCGATGGTCCAGCCTCTCTTTTAACTGAAAAGAATTACAATAGGGTGCTAGAAATTCCTGTTGCTGCCAGATTTATACATTGAATACCACAGTTACTTTGTATATAATACATGTTTGTTTGAATTGTTTACGTTGCAGTTGTTGGTAACACTTCTACTCTGTACAGTGTTTTTGCTTATTTTACTTACTTTTAATCCAAATATGTAAGTATCACAAGTTGATAACAGTTTCTAGCAGTTCATACTACTATAAAAACATGCAAGTTATATAATTAGTGGTCTGGGATGTATTGTTTAGTTGTTATAATAACAACAACAACCTTGGCTGATCTGGCAAGCATACTAGAAAACTGGTGGTTGACCTGCATTTAGTTTTAATAAAGTTACTAATCTTAATGCTTCTGAAAATGTTTTAAATGGATCAAGACTTGAAAATGCTCACCATCTTCAATGCATTGCCCTGCTACATGTACAGGGTGTCCAAAAAATTATGTTATAGTGAGAAACTTGTGAAGACATTAAAATTATATGTGTGGCATTGCATACGAAACCCATAAATCGTATGTCCCGCATTTCCACTTTGCAGTAGATGACGTTACTGCTTGCTCACAGACATTGTGGTTTTTGGACTACAGGTTTGAAAGACTTTTTTTGCCAATTGCTTGAAATTGACAAAGAAATCTTCCTCGGAATCTGGCTCACTAGGTCTCTCGACGTCATGTCTCCAGATTTTGGACTTCTGGGAGATATTTCCAGCATTTGCTGTAGGAGAAATTGCAATGTCATATAAAACTTCACTCTTAATAAAGCATTACTTAAATCTTTTCTACCATGCAGTAACTTTTTGGACATCTTGTATATACAGTAGAATCTCCACAATCTTGCCTTACACATATCTGCAGTTTGGAATTTTTATATTCATGAAGCACAATTTACTTATTTATGGAAAGATTAACAAAAGTAATGAAATAATGTATAGGGAGACAGTTAAATGATTTTCAATGCTTTTTCCCTTAAATGCACTCTACTCCAGTTTGCGGCATTGACCGTTGCATTGAGCTACGGTACTGCCTCATACTTCCTTGCACTATTTTAGCTTATATACTTATGCAGATAATAAATGTATTTTATATTAGAATGGATTGTATATACCGATATTTTATTTTATAAGAGGATTTTATTTAGTTTATCATTTAGCCTTTCAAATCAACAATGGCATATAAACAAAGAAGATTCTAATGGCAAAATATTGAAAAGGCCAAAGAAAGTAATGCTGCTAAGACATAATTAGAGTGTAGATTGCTTGTGGAGAAGACAATTGGCAGCTATAGTTGCTTGCTCCTTTGTCGTAAACGAATCAAATCATACACTAAGAAAAAAGAGAAATTAGAAATGTGAGAGCATTTTCCTCCTAATAAGCATAAATTGTAAAGAATATCAGAGATCCACTGACCGAAAAAACAAAAATTCTTAAGCATTGGTATCGAAGGTCACTCACAGAAGGATGTTGCTTCGAGCGATTTTAATATCCATAAAAACGCAAAGTGTAAAACTTCACCAAAATGGTATTCTGGTAAAAATGTTCTGGAATACATTCTATAGCAACCCGACCTTTCTTTTTAGAATACTTGATCATTGTAGAATGCATTCTGAAACGCAAAAGCAGATAAAAGACGACCGTTTCGATAGACTGTTTTTGGTCTTTTAAAAACTAAACTGCCTATTTCATCATTTTGGTGCAAGTACTAGTCTAAATCAACTATGTTTAAATTCACTTAATACTTCTAAAGGATGGTTTCAAAAATTTAAGGAATGTTCTAATACTGTAAAAGATTATAGGCATAGTGTTGTGTGTTTTGTTTTCCGGAAACTGTTGCATAACTTCCAAAGAACGGATGAAAACTAGAAGCTTTTTACAAATAAATAATTATGTGCAATCTTTAATAATCACTTTGTTATATTTCTCCTTTCTGTATTTGCTCCTTTGTACAGAATATAATGACATGAATACAGCAATTCTGCTATACTAGAATAATAATTTTGAAATTATACTATGCTTAAAAACTAATAATAGTTTTATTTTATGTGGCTAGCACATTGAATGGCCTCTGTTGTATCCCGACTCTTTTAAGAGATTAAATATACCGCAGCCAAAAGGTATATTGTTGTTTGGACCTCCCGGATGTTGTAAGACTACCCTAATAAGAGCAGCGGCCACTTCCTGTAATGCTACTTTCTTGGCTGTCAGTTCTGCACAGATCTATTCTCCGTTTGTTGGAGATTCAGAGAGAGCTATAAGGGAGGTTAGTATGAAACTGTTGTCTATTCGAACTTTTGATTTGATTCCTCATGAAAATTGAACTGTCTTTAGATATTTCATCGGGCTCGACTGGGAGCTCCCTCCATGATATTTTTTGACGAGATCGATGCTCTGGTTGGAAAGCGTGGGTTTGGTGCAAGTCGAGACGTACAAGAGAAAGTTTTATCTACTCTACTTAATGAAATGGATGGCATCGGTAAGTGTCTTTGTTTTTGTATCGTAAGATCTTTGATATTAAACATTTTGATATTAATTTCGTAGGAACTAAATCAAGTGAAATTCAAGGATCAAAGATATTAGAAGGAGAAGATTATAAATCTGAAAAGGTAAAGTTGATATATTTGCAACTCATGTTAGTATATAAGAATGGAAATTAAACAATTCAGTATAATAATAATAATAATAATAATAACTCTCTCGCCAGTCATAACCTTGCTGTGGTGAGGGAGCTCAGTAATTCTGATGAATCACAGAGCTACGCCAGCTGGAGCATCTGCTCTTGGTAGGGTCACCCATGCCAGTGAGGTCTGTGGGGAGAAATGAAGCCAAGAGTGACTGAACCCATATCTGTGGAGATCTAACCACAGTGATATCACGATCCAAGTGTAACACCAGCTTGGATGTTGCTCGGGTTAACGAGGTCTGTGCTCGTGAGTTAGGCAGAGATTCATGCTTGAAAAATTTGTCACAAACTCCCATGGCCACCAGTAATGAAAGTGGCACTGGTCCAAGTATGGCTACTCCAATGCCCACATTAGTTTTGGGAAACCAGCCTAATTTTTTCTGTGTCTTGTTTCTGAGGTAAACCATACCAAGAGATGAAATGGACATTGGAAATGAACAAGTTTATTGTCCGTACTTACTTCACCATCATAAAACTTGAAACTGACAAGACAGCATAAAGACATCAGTTACATCATTTGTTTTCACAACATTAACCTCATCTCGCTGTGGAAAGGGATCAAAGAGAACAATTATACATAACAATTTTATACCACAAACAAAGCTAGAACATATCAAACAACAAATTACAAACAATTACACCAACAAACAAATACTCCCAACATCAACAACAATCACATTATTCATCAGACTCATTACATTATCCATTCTACTGTAAAGTACTATATTATTTTTCTGCCTTTCCAACGATTATCGACAAGACTTTGTGCTGGAAATAGCCATTACCTAACGGGTACTTCAAGCGGATTCGCGTTAATGTGCCAGGCCTGGACTTTAAGCGTGCACCAAATTAAAGAATGACAAAGTTAGTCAAAAACAATCCAATATTTAATAAAAATTTTAGTAATAACTATATACAAAATTTAGTAAAAATCAAATAAAAATTTATTCAACATAAATCAATAAGAATCAACCCGACAAAACTCAAATCAATCTACAGGTAGCCCTTGGTTTACGCCGGTTCAATTTACGCTGATTCACAATAATGCCACTGCGCAATTCGCCGTTTCGAGGTGTAATTTCCTGATTTTCCCTATGCTAGACTGATTTTCATTTCAGTGTTGACGTATTTACCGAGTTGCGACATTGTACATTGGTTAAAACAAAGATTTTTATTAAATATATTTATTTTTTCTGTTTAATATTATTGGGTATGTATACATTTGCATTAAATTAATATTAAAATACTAAACGTTTAGGTACCCACGAGTCAAGATATTAAACTTAATAGTCCAATAAATGGCGTCCAAATCCATAGCGCCAATGAATATATCCCGTATCAGTTCGTTCAGGAAAACACCTTACGACGCAATAGCACTTCTGGCGATCACAAATTATCATTAGTGAGACAAATCTACTTCTCGTTGGCCAGACGATATTTATCTCTCCTTAGCCACCTTGAATTTTCCTGCTCAAACTGACCTTATATATGCGCTACGGCGACCGGTGGTCAACCAATCAGTGTCTTCGCTCGTCCGTAGCTCTACGTCGGGTTAACGTATCCTTTCAACTAAGGAAAGTTTGACGGATGAAGTTTGTGAATTAGACAATGTTGGGAGCGAAGTGCAAATGTAAAAAGGAGCATCATATTCGACCATATTCCGAAATTCTTAATGAAAGAAATCAAAAATGTAAACAATTAAAGATGAATCTTTTTTCCGAAAAATGTAAGAAATTCGAAACTAAAATTTTTAAATAAAAACATTTTACTTTATTTTATGATAAAATACATTTTAAAAATTAAAAAATTATATGTATTTTGTATTATATTGTATTAATAAACAAAAATATTAGCTTATTTTTCATTTATGTAGAACCTAACCCTATACCTCATTGTAAATATGGGTTCGTTTTACGCCGATTCGATTTGCACCGGCTTTTGTAGGAATGGAACTGCGGCGTAAACCGAGGGCTACCTGTATTTTCTAACTTAACTCTATTCCCCTTTGGAATTCGACAAAAAATTCAGACTTAACTTATGTACAATAATTTTTATGAATTAAAGGTCCTAATCGTCACCTCAATATACTAGGAACCCTTTTCCTCAACTCTCAAGACTTTCTCTAATCTTCGATCCACAAATCGAATAACTTCAAAATTGCCTTGGAACTACTTTATCCTATCAGACCCTTTCTCTCATTTGCTACTACGAAGCTCACCACACTCGTTGCTAACAGAAGCTCACCTCGGTCATCTTCATTTGAGGTTCGGTCTTTATACTGTGAGGTGACGTCACAATTCTGAGTGAGATCACTCCCCTCATTTTCATACTTATTGCTAACAATAAACTTTCCTGTTTGCCTGGCAGCCTATTTTCCGACAATACTCACTAACCTTTTACATTATTCTTTTTGACAATTTTCGGGATGTTTTATTCCTTAAGGTTTAGCAAGTTCCTAAGTTTGTGCTTGTGGGGTCTCCCCCTTTTTCTCGGTGTGGACTTACTTTTTTCCGCTTAGGTCGCGAGTTTTATCTACGGTGTTTTTCTCTCGTCGGTAAGTTGGTTTCGCTTCTGTTTTTAAGTTTCTAAGGTGAGTGGTGAGGAAACCTTCGTCCTAACAAAATATAAGCCCCAAACAAAAATAGAATAAAAGCAAAAATAAAAGTAACTAAAAATAACGCTCGGACTTGGTCCCTTACACTACATGCACTGACAATACTGTTCCTACCACCACTATTTTCGATGATGCTGACAATATTAATACTTCTTCGTTACCTGAAATAGATTCAGGTTTAATTCATACTCACTCTCTCCTTTTCCAAGAAGCACTCAGTAAATTTATAGACACTGATCCTGCACACCAGCCATGCATTCCCAAAATCAACACTTCTAAACCAGCAGGGAAAACACTACATTATGGTAAACACTTACATATTACCAGATTGTACTCATTCTATTTCTACACTCTCGGACATCTACACAAGTCTATGCTGGTGTAGTCACAGTAGTGACCTACCATGGACTAAAACTACACCGACAAACAGAAGCACACAAATCAAAACCCTTTAGAAGTCTGCTTGGCAAAGAAGAATAGAAACACAAATAAATAATATTAGACAGCAGCTAGGCAGGCTGACACAATTTTATTTTTTATTTTAACAAAAGACAACAGCGGTACACAAAGTGTTTAGCCAGTGGAAGAATGGGAAGAGGAGAAGGGTGAGGAGGTAGAAAGAAGAGAAAGGAAGGCTGACACAATATGCTAATAACAAATTAATGAAATAACTAAAAAAATTTTCAAGAAAATTAAAACACACACCAAGCATAAACAACACAATGTCCACATTGCAGAATACATCGACATGTTTAATTTCCATTCTACTGAAGCAAAAACTTATGGCCAAAGCACAGCAACTCAAATGATACAAAATTTGTTCTGTATGAAAACAAAAACTCTTTGATAGGCAAATTAATACCAAATCTAGTACTGATTCCCAACACAATGGCATGCCAACTGAAGAAGAATTCACAAATTATTGGTCTTGCGCAATGCTGAAGCAGACCAGATCAAAGAGGAGAGAAAAGACATGTAGGATACACCTATTATGAATCGTGTAGAAATAAATACACAAGACATCCATTGCGCACTGCAGAAAGCAGACAACTGGACAACACCTGGTGTAGGTGACATTCACAATTTCTGGTACAAAAAATTCACATCCCTGCAACAGGAACTGGCTAAACATTTAACTCATATCAACAACAATCCAAAAGACATGCCAAATTTTCTCATGTAGGACATCACTTACATGAAACCAACAAACAACAACACCAAAGACCCTGCACAGTACAGACTAATTACATGTCTTCCAAAACTCTGCAAGGCAAAAGGTAAGAATTTTGTAAACAAAATATACAATTATATTAATGAACACGACATTCTTACAGAACAACAAAAAGGCTGCTGTAGAAATCACAAAGATTGCAAATAACAACTACTCATCGACTCTGTTATTATATGGCAAGTTCATAAGCAACACACTTGGCATATATTGATTATAGAAAAGCATTTGACAGTGTCCTACACACTTGGCTGCTGCACACACTTCACATTTACAAAATTCATCCCCAACTCATTAGTTTCCTTGGTTTTACCATGTTTCACTGGGGAACAACATTGTATCATCACCTCCATAATACTCACGTAAAAACAAATCAAATATACATTAAGTGAGGAATTTTTAAGGAGACTCCTTGAGTTCTCCTTGGTTCTGCCTTGCACTTAACCCTTTATCTAACACATTGAACAAAACACAATATGATCACAATATCACACACAACAGAAAAACAAAAACACTGTCACATTATCACACCTTACATACATGTATGATATCAAACTTTACACACTACTATTAAAGCTATTAATATATATGTTGTTCCTGTATTCACTTATTCTTTTGGAGTTATACACTGGACATGTACAGATCTTGAGCAACTCCAAAGGAAAACAAGAACACTTACTAAACATAAACATTATCATCCAAAATCATCATAGAAAAACTAACTCTTCCTTGTAAAGAAGGTGGCCGTGACCCGACTAATATAATCAACCTGCACTACAAACAAATTCTGACACTGCGGGTAAAACAAGAAACACAAAAATTATGCCAAGCTATAACTCTGGCAGACAGTAACCATAAACCTTTAAACTTACACTCTGAGCAATTGGACATAGCTCAATACATAAATAACATAGAAACCACTAAGCAGTCATGGGTCCAAAAAGCACTTCATGGCAGGCAAGCCTATGACCTAGCTCAGGACTATGTTGACGAAACTGAATCAAACTGCTGGACAACTAGGGGCTGTCTGTTTGAAGAGACCAAGGGATTTACGATTGCCATTCAAGATCAAGTCATAAACACTGAAAACTAGAAAACGCATCACTAACAAATGACATGCAGAAAATGCCATATTCTGCCAGAAACAAAACAACATATAACTTCTGGTTGCAAGCTCTTAGCACAAACAGACTATTTACGTAGGCATAATCAAATTAAATATAATACACCAAGAGCTTGCACACAAACACAGATTATTAAACACCCAGGTACCGTACTACAAATATACTCCACAGGCAGTATTAGAAAATGGCGCACACAAAATATACTACGACAGAGCCATAATCACAGATTGTTTCATCGCATTTAGGTGTGTTATTAGTACTGCATGTAATCTGTTCTGGTATTTGAATGTCAATCTTTGTTTTATCTGTGCATGCTCTGTAAGTTTGGCCTGTTGGAATCTTAAATATTTGTAAAACAATTCATCGCAATAGACACAACATCACTCTTATTGACAAATACAATAAGATCTGGGATCAAATCTGGACAGGTCAAAACCTCCAGGGGTTTTTCTGGGGTAGTCCATCTGGATACGTTGGGCTCTGTCCCTTGCCACTCAGCCAAATCCATAATAGGCTTGCCAAAAAGGCCCTCTTAGTTCCCACAGTGCAGAATAAGTTAAAAATGAAGAAAAAATCCTCGCAGCCATTAGATTCTTCATACTTACTTGTGGATCCAAATCCCTCATAATTTATTGTGGGTAGAATAGTTGGGGCATCGATCCCTATTCCTCGTTCTTTCTACTTGACCCCATTACGGGTTAGATCCACCTAAAATGGCTTAATTGTGTCCAGTAGCATATTTTAATATTCTAGTTAATCTATCAGTTAATCAAATTAAGCAGAAATTTGGGTAAAATTGGTTGTTTGAATTACTGGACAAAGTGAATCATACTCCCTTTGAAATTTATTTATTTTTAGTTTAAATTTAGATAATTTTACATTAGCATATATCATATTTAAAGAGAGAAAGTAGCATACAGTTAACCGATTTATAATTTTATAAATTCCTGATACATGGGTGAAATTGTCAACTGTTTCCACACTTCAAGTGACATTTGCATTTAGAGGGCAGGGTCTAACTATGTTTTTATGGCATCTAAGTGTGGAATGCTTACAAATTTGAAGTGATCAAAGGAGTGGAAAAGAAAATTTGATATTGCAATCTTTATGCGAAATTCTGGTATCTCATTTTGTTGCACTCTTCATCATCGATTGGTTGAAATCTGGTGAGAAGTTTTTAAATATTAATTTGTAGCCCTACTTACTAAATTGAATGTCAAAATCATTCAATAGCTCTCTTTGCGTTTAGCGTAAATCATGCTTTACTAATACAACTAGAAACTAGGCATCTCGAACGTTGCCGACTAATTCTGTCCACTTTTCAATATCGGGAAGAGAAACAAAGAAAATGTGGATTTATTTTAATTCGACTAAACATGGTGCCTTATACTTTAAAAATGCACATTCCTCTAAATTGATGTTTCTCGACCTTTTTTATCTCGAGGCACACTAGAACCCATAATTAAATTTCCACGGCACAAAATCACGTGATTTAAAGTTCTGTCTATAAACATTCTATCGCCATATTACTGGCCACTTAACCTAATTCTTTGTGAATTAAATAAAACAGTACTGTTCCTTAAAATAGCAGCATTCATTTTTATAAGAAAAACAATTAACATTAAGTCTTAATTTACATTTAAAAGCGGGACATTTTGCACATTTCTAAAGGCAATTATCACACCACGATAATTACCTTTAAAAACCTGCAAAATGTCCTGCTATTTCCAAGCTAAAATAACTTGAACTAAATATGGATAAGTATAGATAATTTTTGATTTAAATTAATTTCCATTAAAAAATATTTTTAACAATGGAGGGAGCCACCATCTACTTAAATTTTGTACTGGATGGAACCATCATATATTTATTAATTAAATATAAAACAAAAGGGTCAACGTGCAAATCTAATGCCACAAACATTAATAAGAAATTATTTATTTTCTTATTGCAAAAATATTTTAAGAAATTTAAATAAAGTGTATTTAGTGATTTTCCCACTAGAGGGAGCCAGTTTTCTTAATATAGAATGAAAAATCCAAAGATGTTCCCGTTTCAATTCAATGTGATATCAGCTTTCCTCAGAAAAGCACTTTCTTCCGGATAATGTGCTGCACCGGGAAGAATGTGTCGTCGAAGAATGGTTCCGCAAATGCGTCATTTACTTACTTTCGTCGTCCTGTGCGGTCTCAGATTTTAAGCATTGTCGAGTCGAAAGTTACATTTGTAAACACAATTGTATTTCCATAAAATATGTGACTACGCGTCATTGTTGCACGTGCTCATCGGAATGTTCTGCGAGAATGTGCTGTGCCAAACGTAGGTTATTCCAACTTATACAGGTTTTACTGTATATGATTATAATAGTCATTTGTACTTACCTACAACTATTATAATTGCATATATAGTTGAGAAACTATTGATGCCAAACTGGGAAATCTCCCCTGCCTCTCATGTTTCCGTTAAAATAAATTTTCGACTTGTTTTTGTCCATTTTGATTGTTACGCCTTGAGCTTTCGGTTGAGAAACAACAATGAAATATATACTTGATTTTGAACGCATGGAATATGTTTACTCTAAAAAAAACAGTGTGGATAAGTCTTACACCTTGTTAACTTTTGTTTCTTCTTAATTTAGGAAGAGTTAGAAGCAAGGAATAATGCTCGAGTAATCGTGGTGGCCGCCACAAATCGACCCGACATGCTGGACGAGGCAGTCCTCCGTCCTGGACGATTCGATGTCATTCTGGGCATTCCTCCACCAGACGAAAAGGTGAATTCCGTCGTTGAAAGTCATTGAAACGTGGATTAGTCAATTATAATAATATAATTACAGGCCAGGGAATCCATTCTTAGAGTCCTGACCAAAAAAATGCCGCTGGAAGACGTCAATCTAAAAGAGATAGCTTCAAGAACGGAAATGTTTTCAGGTGCAGATTTGGGAAATTTGTGTAGGGAGGTAAGTGGTGATGCAAATTGAAGTTTTTATATGTCAAAACTTTTAAAAATGTAAATTTCATTATCTTAGGCTCTGTTTGGTGCCATCAGGAAAAATGGTGTTGAAGTGACCAGTGTACAGATGGACGACTTTTTAACGGCACTTGAAAATGTAAAGCCGTCCCTCGACCAACAACAATTGGAGGAATTTAGAAAAATGGCAAGAAGATACGATTGTGCCGGGTTGGTCGATATTTTGAGAGAAAAGTTTTGATCTCTGGCAATTCAAAGGTATTTTTATGTAGAATAATTGTTTAAATTATTTTAAATTTCATTGGATTGAGTAGATATTTCTTAATTATCAAAATGGTGTACTGTACATCAAAATATCATATCATTTTATATAATGTACATCATTATATAAAATATACTGACACTCAAATTTCTTTGGAAATTGAATGTGTGGAGAGTATTTTTGCTTGAAGCGCAACAATTTCAAAAATATCATTTTGTCAATTGTATACATTTTACACATAAAATTCTATTCTGGAAAAGACTTATCAGAATTATGGTGGCAACCTACCACTGCAAGGATCCTGGGATCTGGAATCCGGTTGTGTCAAAAAATCCCTGGGATGTTTTTGGGGTGGTCTGTCTAGATATGTTGGGTCCCATCCCTCACCACCCAGCTGAACTGATAATGGGCTTGTTTTTAGCAAGCTCATTATGTACCCATGGAGTGAAAAGAATTGCAAAGAAAATCTGTGTTCTGTTCTAACTCTGGCTCTCTTTGTGCCCATTGTGGGTTTGGCCAGACAGCAAGGGAGCAACCATCTGTGAAAAATTTTGAGAAATTGGTCACTCGGATTCGATCCCGGGTCCACTGAGCGGCTCGGCCATCTGGGTGTCCGTTTTCGTTGAAACATAATTCTTTAATGTTTCCTCTTACAATTTATTTTTGAGACAATAAACATTGTTCGTTAATGGCAGCTTTGTATAACACTCCTCCTCCGCCGACAAGAAAATAATGTCAAAGTTATTGAATGCATGTTTAATTTTGCAAATTTTAAACAAAAATTTCACAAAATAGAAACATGGCTTCTTTGAATCATTAAATTACATTATATTACGTTGGTAAAATGTTCACAATAAGTTATTGGCCCAAGAACAATTTCACACTATGATTATCCAGACCGATAGCAAAAGCAAAGCTAAATAGGCTAATTGTAATGGCAAATTTCTGGTAGCTAATCAAAGCACACATTGATTTGAAATGTTGGTTAATCGTTAGGCCAAAAAACTTAAAAGTTTTACAAACAAAATCACAAGTCCATGGATATCATTCTTACTTTATTTAGAGACTTTGTGACTGAAAGTACTGGCCAGTTGACCTGCTACTGCCATTGTGGCATGAAATTCTGATACAGTCGGCACCCTTACAGTTATGACTTATGGATTGCCATTATTTGTAAACAAATGTTGACATCTTTTTCCAAAGTGTTTAATGTAATCTGATCTTTCAAGTGCAATGGAAATATTTTTCATGTGTGAATAATAATGTTAAATACCTATTCCCGAATAAATCATTTGGATAATCAATCTTGGTAAGTTTAACTTCCTTATTATCAAAATTCTTTTACTCTACTGTAATTTATTTTGATTTTTATACAATGAACAAAGTTTAAAAGCAAAAAGTGCGAAATGCTACTTTCTGCGGCACAAGAACTCGCCAGATCCTTCTGTAATGATTGGTTGCATCTGGATATGTAACAATATTCCAACATCTCTCATTAAAACAAATTGATTAACTTGTTATGATGAAAAGTGCAGAAAACATTGCTTCGCAGACATGCGAGATCTTGCATAATATTACTACATGAGGATGTATTTCTTCCAATTTGTTAAATAGTAAACCAATACAGAATGAGCAGCGTGTGAAATAGTTTTGTCTGCAAGTGTACTCTAATTTTTTATTTTTCTTATTAAATGATTCCAATTTTATGTAGTTTTATATTTTTGGGCACCGGTTGGCAAAATACCAAATGCGATAGTTAAAAAAATTCTCAACGTTTTTACGGCATGATAAAAATGGAATTCTAGTGATCTGGATGACGCATCTAAATTGTCAATCTGTTATACAGACTCGTGCAGAGATAGTAAATTATAAATAATCTTGCACGCATCAACATGGTTATCAAATTCGTTTTGCATTTCTAAAGCCGTCTACTTCGACTTGTTGGCAGAGTGGCTGACAAAAGAAAACCGTCTTGTTTTTGCAGCAAGACGTGGCTTTGCCTTATCAATTCGTACAAAGCATAACAGTTTCTAAACAAACATTTCTCCTTTGCTGGATTGGATGCACTTTCTACGATAACAAATCTTTTCTTCTTTGACAAGTAATGAGTGAGACCAGATCCTATTTTGAAAAATTTGGTATTTGTGTCTCACTTTGCTTAGCCGACAGAAACCGAAGTACTGTTGCCAGATTGACAAAACTACACCGGAGAAAGTGTGACGCAAATTTGATCACCGTATTGGCACGTGCGGAACTACGTTCCTAAAATAATGGGCTTGCGTGCAAGGTATTAAAAATTTTAATATTTATGGTTTTTTGACAGCATCTTGTAGTTAATCTGAAAGCAAACATCAGATTTATCTCATCTTAACATCATATGAAATGTACTTTTTGGATTTAAAATATTAAAATTCTCGTGTCTTAGTTGTCAGCACATTCTTTGATGAATTTAAATTTGTTTTTAATGAGGATGATGCTAGATTATTTAATTAATGTTCATGTTATAAATATGATGACTTGCATATACGAATTGTAATCTGCAATTATGTTTATCATAGCCGGAATTCTAGTTATCTTAGGCATTTTTAACCCATCTTTTCATACTACTTAGCCAGTCCAACTCAACTTGTGGTCGATAATTGGTAGCAATAATACGTTAGTGTTATAGTTTAAAGCACTAGTTAATTGTTCACATTATAGCACAGTATTTATCATCCAGTATCGGATAAAAGACGTTAAAGTCCTGTTTATTGCAAGGTCATTTTCTGGTCCCATGAGCAAAGATAGGGATCTTAATGTAAAGCAGTTCAGTTAATATGTAATATGAAAGTAATATGTACTGTAATTTTTAGGACATCGTGAATTTAAACTGGACGAAGACCAAACTTGATTCTGACATCATTGTGGCATTTCTTATTGTATGAAGGACATACAGATGAGTCTTGCTCACTTTCTTTGCTTTGGAGAATGATTAGGCTAGAGTGCTGTTGGAGGTTCCGTTAAAGTGCCTGTGGACCAAACACATGGTATAACATGGCACCGTGTCGCTAGGGATCGGCATCAGTTAACAAGGAGGCAGTGGATGACTGGAAAACAAGTAAAAAAATATTCATATGAATCCAAAACAGATTTCTATCTGATGAAAAGGGATTGTTTTATAGCCTGCTTCCTAATGAGACATTTGCTGTGAAAGGGGAAGTGTTCTGTGAGAAAGTCAAGCAAGGTTTTGTTGAACTGTTTTGTTGTGCTGCAGTGTGTATGGACCGAAAAGCCTCGACCTCTAGTCATTTGACAGATCGGCAAAACCAGGATGCTTCAAAAACATACAAGTCACAACACTTTCCTCGTGATTATGCTGCAAAGGCCACATCCTGGGTCACAACACAACACAATTTTCCAACACTGATTTGTGAAATTAGACAGACAGATGGCTGGCTGTGCTATGTTTCTGAAAAGCAAAGCTGCCCTATCATTAAATCTCTACCTGCATTACTATAACCAATTAATAAACTCCAAATACCTTTAAAATGCAGTCTATTTTAAACCACTTATCAAACGTTTTCGGTCAAATTAACAGACCTTCTTCAGGATCGAACTAACAGAATTTAAATTTGCCAAACAGAAATTCCAAAACTTATGTTTTACAATCTTCTGTTAGTTCGATCCTGAAGAAGGTCTGTTAATTTGACCGAAAACGTTTGATAAGTGGTTTAAAATAGACTGCATTTTAAAGGTATTTGGAGTTTATTAATTAGCTGCCCTATCTTCCATCAAACACTAGACCAGGGCATAATTCACCAGTTGAAAAAGACTTATCGAGGACAACTGGTAAAATATTTAGTGTGTCATCTAAAAGGCAAGAACACCTTGTCTCCAAAATGGAACATTCTTGAAGCACTAAGGGATGTAGCTTATGCCTGGAAAAATGTTTTCCCCAAAGTGATTTCCAATTGCTTTAGGAAGGCCAGTTTTATCTAAAATAGTATAGATGTGGAAGATGAGCCAGATATGGCCATGAAGATCCCAAAGAAGAATGGATAACTTTACGGGAAGCATTAACTCTTCAATCTGATTTTAGAGACTGCATCCAAATTGATGATGAGTCGGCAACCGGCAAGATTCCCAGAGAAAGAATTAGCCAAGAAAGACATTAATATCGAAGGAGAAATGAAATAGAGGCAATAGATGACATAGAAGTGGGTTACAGCTTGCCACCAAAAGCACATGCCAAGAAGATACTGGCAGTGCTGAAAAATGTGTTAACACATTCGACTGTTCACCAGAACTTTTGAGTCACTTCAACAAGTTAAATGATCTTGTAAAGAACACAAATGCATAGTGATTCTTTTTCAAATGACTTTAAAACACAACTTGCATTAAAATACACCACCTTTAAGATACATATTTTCACTAATAATGGCATGGCACGGTGCCAAAAACATCTTGAATGAAACATAGCTGTGATTTTAATTAGTTATTGCTTGTTTGAGTCTTGGAATGGCTTGGGGAATGTAATGCAGCCTGTTGTTATTTGCCAGGTTCATACTAACTGAATGTTATGAAGTGTACAATTTTTAGTCCCCGAAACTTCAAAATAAAGGTTATACTGTAGTTTAAATTGCTATCAATTATACATCAAATAAATTACTACTAATTAATAATAATAAATAGATATGTAACTTGGAGATTTATTGTTTTAATGTTAGAGTTGGTACAATTANGTGTCAATTAAGTATAATAATAATAATAATAATAATAACTCTCTCGCCAGTCATAACCTTGCTGTGGTGAGGGAGCTCAGTAATTCTGATGAATCACAGAGCTACGCCAGCTGGAGCATCTGCTCTTGGTAGGGTCACCCATGCCAGTGAGGTCTGTGGGGAGAAATGAAGCCAAGAGTGACTGAACCCATATCTGTGGAGATCTAACCACAGTGATATCACGATCCAAGTGTAACACCAGCTTGGATGTTGCTCGGGTTAACGAGGTCTGTGCTCGTGAGTTAGGCAGAGATTCATGCTTGAAAAATTTGTCACAAACTCCCATGGCCACCAGTAATGAAAGTGGCACTGGTCCAAGTATGGCTACTCCAATGCCCACATTAGTTTTGGGAAACCAGCCTAATTTTTTCTGTGTCTTGTTTCTGAGGTAAACCATACCAAGAGATGAAATGGACATTGGAAATGAACAAGTTTATTGTCCGTACTTACTTCACCATCATAAAACTTGAAACTGACAAGACAGCATAAAGACATCAGTTACATCATTTGTTTTCACAACATTAACCTCATCTCGCTGTGGAAAGGGATCAAAGAGAACAATTATACATAACAATTTTATACCACAAACAAAGCTAGAACATATCAAACAACAAATTACAAACAATTACACCAACAAACAAATACTCCCAACATCAACAACAATCACATTATTCATCAGACTCATTACATTATCCATTCTACTGTAAAGTACTATATTATTTTTCTGCCTTTCCAACGATTATCGACAAGACTTTGTGCTGGAAATAGCCATTACCTAACGGGTACTTCAAGCGGATTCGCGTTAATGTGCCAGGCCTGGACTTTAAGCGTGCACCAAATTAAAGAANTGTAGTTTAAATTGCTATCAATTATACATCAAATAAATTACTACTAATTAATAATAATAAATAGATATGTAACTTGGAGATTTATTGTTTTAATGTTAGAGTTGGTACAATTATAATTTCTATTAATTATAGTCTTATTTTTGCTTACTCTGGTTGTTGTTATTGTTATAGATGAGTTCCGGTAAGCAGATTCCACCACATACAAACCCCAAAATAAGGTTCTGCATTGCTAACACGCGACCTAAATCCACTTCTATGTGAAGACGACTGAACATCTTAATGTTGAGATCATCGTCAATTGGAAATTGTTATGGGGTATGTAATTATTGTGGTTGAACAGATGTTAGATGGCGCATCTCAATCATTCTTGTAACGACTTGTATCTACAATAGCCATTGTAATATTTATAATTACAAAAAGTGAAAATGATTACCAAAAACTCAAAATGGAAAACAATAAAGGGATTATTGAAAAATTCAGTAGCATATTCCTTGAAGAAATCAAATATGGAGTTCTATTCATTCTATCTCTAACTGCATTACTATTTAACAAAAATTCACTATACCTTTAAAATGCAGTCTAGTTTACATCTGTCCTTTAAATTAGAATAGAATATTATATTTATTCTATTCATTCTATCTCTAACTGCATTACTATTTAACAAAAATTCACTATACCTTTAAAATGCAGTCTAGTTTACATCTGTCGAACGTTTTCGGTTTGATTCACAAACCTTTATCAGGATCGAATTATCAATCGAAATATATTTCAAATTTGCATAACGGAGATTCCAAACAGCAGTTATTATTACCCGAGAAGCATGCAGTGTACACCAATTGATAGAGGTACGTTCATAAAGTCAAATGAGTTAAATGAGAATAATGTCATCATTATTCTTATTTCGTTATAAACGAATCGTTCAAAAAGTCTAACTAAATGGCTGTTTCTAATATCGAAGATATGAACATTGCTAGTGTAGCCTTATCCAAAATATTTTCCTTAGATTGCTTCGGGTGGACAGTTATTTCTATCATTTCACCTTTTAATTCTCAGTTTAAACACTCGAGTAGATTTAGAAACATCAATATCGTTGGCTGCCATTTTCTTAACGAAGTGAACTAACTCTTTCCTTCGTTAGAATTTCATTCGAAACGTCATCGCCGCAGAGCATGCACACTGAGCAAGACTACTAATTTTAGAACGATTCGTTACTAATGCATTTAACTTGTTCGACTTTACGAACGTACCCAGAGTAACCATCCGAGTTTTGTCTCCCATTCAAATGTCTCGTCATCTAGTACCTTTAGGGAGTCCATAAATGAAAATGGCATCTCTGCAGCAGAGAAGTTTTTGTGTTCTGCACGACGAAGTCGGAATCACTCATCATCGTGCAACACGAGTAGTTGGTAGGAGCTGTAGAATTGTGGCTGCTGCAGGAGCGATAATGGGTATACCATGGCGAGCATAGAAAGAATTTGAGGTATTAGTTGGATGTGTGCCGTGCAATACAAGGTAAGTGTAATGAGCAAATGTGAAATTTGGACAGTCTTCCAATGTTTTAATGTAAACACTGGCTTTAAGCCCCATTTTATTGGTCTTTTATATAAATCAGTTATGAAAAATAACCTAATATAATTTTCATTTTCACAAAAACACAATTTCAAATAAGGCACCATTTAATTAATAAATCACACATGATCACAGTTACTGCATTTTTCATGTAGACTTTTCGGGGGGAAAATATTCTCCACGTTATAAGACACACCCTAATTTTCAGATTGAGTTTGATTTGTATATTCTAAAAAGTAATCAAAATACAGTATTTATTTTAATTGGTATGAAATTTGTTACTTTTTCAGAGAGGCCAGACTATATATATAGAATATTCGGAAATACTCTTAACAGACTGCGACTGGTCTTATCCATCTCTATTAGTTTATCTGCCGCAGTCCTTTAGGGCTATTTTGGCTTATCTCCGTCGTAAATTTTATAGCCACAGATGCTGGCAATTTTTGCGTGCCTATTTTTTTTTTTTATCATCATGGAACATTTTGATAGCTAAATGAGAAAAATGGAGGATGTCGATAATACTGTGTTTATATTTTGTATTTTGAGACAAACTTTGTTGTTAGTAAAGAAGAGAAACAGTCAACTTTGTAAAATCATAAATATTTAAATTCTTGATTAATTTTTATAATTACAATGAAGTGTATTTTGGCAGTTCTTTGATGATAAAAATAATCTAATCTTATTTTTTTAACAATAGGAAATCTGACACGTGCAAATGGTAGATTTGGAGACTGGGCCGAACACACGTTTCCAGAAGCATCGGTCTTATATGTAACCTCTGAATAGACACACAACTTATTTTTAAATTACGGAACAGAATTTTATCCAAAATTCTTTTAATTAAAAATTCAGACAACTCTTTACGCGACAGAAGATGTTTCCGTACTCCACAAACATGCAACGATGCATTTCATTATGGAAATTTGTTTGGAAGTTTTGACGACAAATACGTTTGGCATCTCATTTAAAATACCATCGAGATACGTAATTTTGCTTTTCTCCTGTCCAAAGTTAAAATCTTTTAGTTGAATTTTAGACGTGTATTCTAGGTAGTCAAATTAGTGTAACAAACAATTGATCATTTTATGCTAAACTTTCTTAGTCACTGGCTTGACTCGGTAAGGTCCTCTTGTTTCTGTCCTTGTTGTTTTTGTAAGTTTACATATCTATTGTTGTCTTCTCCCACCCCATATCTTACCTTGTATTACCAATGTTAGAGTTGGATCCTAAGATATTGTTATTTACTTAGTGGAAAAAAACAGTAGTTACTCTGATTTTGAAAAAATTATCCTCTGTAAGTGCCTATTCTACTATGGTAAACCCCTACTTTGCAATTGCCAACAGTTCTGAGCAAAAGTGGTTTTGCCGTATTTTCGATGGTTCTACACATGATATCCTGTCTCAATGTTGTTCTCTCGCCCTCTTTTCTTACTATTCATGTTTTGCAACCATACACAGGCCAACCAGATGACATTTTAGTATTATAAAGTTTCTGATTTGGTAACAAAAAAATTTGCACAAACTGAATTTTGCTTCAATCATTCTAGAGTTGGTGTGTGTGGATGTGTGTTAAGCTTGTTTTTATATATCTGTAAGTAAAAATGTGCTTGGAAAAGTTTGCTCTGTTTTCTGAAGCTCAAGGAGAATTTCTCTAAAAATGTTTATAAGAACATATTTATAAAAGATTTTTACTATGGCACAAAGCTTAAGAAACATTTGTGCATATATTTGCATGTAATTTGAGGAGTTTGGATTTATCGAGTCTATTACTACTGAGTTATACTTATATAAACTAATTCTGTAATGAAATCAATGACGGTTTTTAAAAATTAAATCCAACTTACTCAAAATAAATAAATAAAATATTTAAAATCGTCCGTTTTGTGACTTGTAAAGTTCATTAGTTCGATCCAATAGAGTAGAATGTTAAGTGAGACGGTAACGATGTTTGCGTAAACTCTGTGTTTCTCGATTTTATAGCCAACAAGCTATAAAAACCTCAATTAAAGTTCTAAAAAATCTGTCTGAATAAAGAAAGAATGAAACTACTTTCTTATTTTTTTATATATATATATATATAACCACCTTGTTTAATTTCATTTAATCACTTCACAGAGGTAATAGCAGTTTTGCACTACTATAAGTGGTTCCTATTTACACATCAAATGCGGTGGTTAACAGAATGGGGATAAAATACAAGAAAAATAGACTGTTCCATTATCTTTTTTCACATTGGTTTAAATAGACCAAACACTTCAAAGAACCTTTTTTTTTTTTTTTATTTTTTTGTAAAGGCTTTGGCATCGAGATGAGGAAACAAACAATGCAGAAAGCTAATGAGATTCTGCTTTCAACTAAAAATCGTCCCGTCGCAGTCGTGTTCCTCCTGATTTAAAAACTAAACCACGCTAGCTCTCTCTTCCGTTGTTGCACCATCTCTTGGCTGCCGGTTCTTCAGATTCTCCCTGCTTGTTGCACGGATCATCCTTTCCCTTTTCATAACGTTTGAACATGTACTTTAGTTGGGGCATGTACGCCTTCAGGTCTACCACAGAAACCAGTCTTTCATTATCCATACATATGTGGCCATGTTGCATGAAAATGTGCTGCTGTACCCTGGAAGAGACAAGATAAGGATTAATGATCTATGCATTTCCGAGAATGATGGCAATCAAAAATTTATGTCTGCCCTCGTTTATGGGGAATAGAATTCTAAGTTTGACACGTTGGATTGTAATTCCTCGCGCCCTACTCCCGAAAAAATTTTATTATTAAATTTCGGTTTGAATTGGCATCTTTCCAGGTCGAAGGATTTACGATTCTCAGAGTGTAAAATTCCTCGGTGGTTTATGGCAAAAATCCGACGCGTCTAAATATCTCGGATTGCCTTCGAAGATGCTATTTATAACATCTTAAGTGCATCTTTTCCAACAAAGTTATTATACAGTTTTTATTTTTGACGATGAGGAATGCGCACGAACCACAAATTAGAAAATGACGCTTTCGTATTCACTAACTGGGCAGTAGCAATACAATAATGGATGGCTATTAATTTTCTATTAAGGTATAAATCAATATTTGTTAATTATGTTGAGCAGAGGTGGTCTTGTTTACCTTATTAAAAGTGATTTTCTGTATTAATGCAATACCTTATGCACTTGCCATCAAAACAAATACAAAAAATATCTTTAACACTTTCTTTTTGTATCAATCAGGGTGTAAAAAAGTCAGCAGAATGAATGTTGTTATTCTTTAAATGACAGAATAACGATAATTGTCAAAGAAGGACGGCGACGATCGCTTCTTTCTTCTGCAGCCGAGCAGAACATAATTACTCTACATGTACGAACCTATTGATTTATTACTGCCGATCAATACAAATTACTATAACTACATTTTAAAAATGAATAAAACAATTCTATCTATTTTAATGTTTTTTCAAGCAGAATTCATTTAAAATTTAACAATAAAAACAACAACAATTCAGGGGAAAAAAACCTTTTCGAGAAATGAAACATTCGAGAATTTATTCTCATAAACGTGGCAATAAAAACTTGAATCGATTTGGAAATAAAAATGATGCAAAAATTTATATTCCAGGTAATGTTTTCATGAGGATGGCCCTCCGAATGCAATGGAATTTCTATAGCAAAAACTAATTTTAGTTTACAAATATAGACCAAGAAGTGATTCTTAATTTTTCACGTGGATAAATTCATTTAATGAATTATTTGAGTCCAAAGTATTACATCAATATTTAGCATTAAATAAGTTATTCTGTTCATTTGGAAGTCATGTGAATGGAATAAATTATGAACAGCCAACTGTAGCGAAACATAATGAGTAATTAATTTATGTGCCCTGCTCCAATGATGATCCTAATTACTATTTGAAGTTTCTACCTTATTAATGCTCTGCAAAATGCTAATTAAGTTACTGCACTATTTATTTAATATTTTCGGCGGCAGAAGATACATGCACACAGATTTGATAATACGAAGTATGGAAACTGTTAAGTTACAATACAAATGCAACAAATGCTCTTTACTCATGCTTAAATACACTTGCAGAAGAGCACAGATTTGCCCTCAAACAAAATTATAATCATGTTTCTTTATACTTTATTTAAATTTGTCATCTGTTTTGAAGGTTAAGTTAATTTTAAAACATTTGCATTTTATTGGAAAATATTAATTTTTTCCTGCAGAAATAAAAATTCCAAATAAGTCTCCAGACAATTCGCAAGCTTTACAAACTCTATCAAATAAAACTGGAATGAGATTATGAATTTTGAAAAGTAAAGGAAAAGAATGCAAAGTGGATAATTTGCATCGTGTTTACACATTTTCCATTCAAACTCGGCTACAAGTCCATAAAAGTTAATTGAATTAATGGTTTTAAACAAATATTCTGATGTGCTTCGGCAGCATCTCCCCCCCACAACTTTCTCAGAGACGACAAGATTTATTGATTCGGCTACCAAAAAATCCGAGAGAGAGAAATATTGATCAACAAGTGCCCCCATCTTTCATAAACTTTTATCTAAACCTCCACTTGGTAAGCAATTTCTGTAACTGAGAAAAAGATTGGAATCTTTTAAGATTTAAAAATTAAAAAACACTAATTGTAGATTATGTTCTTTTTATCAATCACAATATCTGTTATTTATTTGAGAATTGCCTAACAGCTTTTTGAACTTTCGGAAAGTTTTTCCTACTTCGTATACATACAATTTAATCCAATTTTAGCAGAAAAGAAATTACTCATTTAAAATGCAAATGTTCAAGAGGCAAAAAACTTTTTCAATTACAATTAATTACATTTTTATGTTAATAATATGCTATGCATTAACCCAAAAGATCAAACAGTTTAAAACTGCAAACCTACAGAAAGAAGTCATCTGGTATGTGTCGTCGTGTGTTCTTAAATATAAAATCAATTTATTCTATATTTAAGAAATCAACACTTAAATGTAGATCAAGATCATTTTCAGTTTCCGCTTGGAAAAATGAAAATTATCAAATAAGAATATAAAAGAATGTTTACTTACCTGCTGCATTCATATAATCTGACTCCCAGAACACTCTGTAGGACAAAAACAAACGATTGAACAGATACGGGAGGAAACAGTTTTGCGACGACATTAGTGACGGATGTAACCAATTGAGAATTGTATACATGTGGTTCGATATTTACAGCCGGAATCTGTCTTCCTTCCACCTCCACCATTTGAATATGGTGGGGCAGCCTTTCTGCAATTTCCATTCCCTGCGGGAATGAGTTGAAACTACTTAACTGATGAACAGGATGAGGAGATTGCTGCACTTTATTAGGACTGCCCAAAACTCTAGAGTCAGGAGACGGCGGTGGACTACACAAGTCGATGATGTCTTGAGTTCTCGGCGTTAATACTTCATTCAAACTGCTCGATGCAGAAAATAAAGTACTTGTCGAAGCCATCGGTACCTGAACAGTCAAAGGTTGTAAAGGGGAAGACTGAGGCGGAGTGGGATAGTGTGGCGGTGGACCCACGGTGAAATGCATTCTCGGGCTGCTGACGTACCTGTCAGATAGCCTGTCGTCTTTTGCTAGGAGTGCTCGCAAGTGGAAATCTTTCTGAGTAGATTCTTTTACCGGTTCTTTTGGTTTCATGGCCCTGGCCAACACATTGGCTGCTGCAGCATCTAAGTCTGTTGTGGAAAGTTGAGACATAGAATCTCTGTTATCATCCATACCCATGACAGATTCTGGAAGACTTCCAGCACCTCCATTTCTTTTTGCATCCGATACATTTTCTGTTAGACTGTGTACACCAACAATTAAAGGTACTGCTTGTTCATTGTTACCAGAATGATTTGTATGTACAGAGGAGTTTTGTTGGTTAATACTAGCCAGTCTATTTGGATGGAGAGGTGGAGGAGGACCAATATGATGTTGCGAGGATAAAGCACACTGTTCAATACCATTGCCATGTTCATTGTTCCCTACCTGATCTTCAATTGATTTGTCTCCTAATCTCACTAAAGGAGGTGGAGGTGGAAAAGATTTATCCCTTATGGGCGATATGAGTCTCTCTCCCTCATTACCAATACCACCTGACGCATGGTGCGTATCTGAATCTCTCAATAATCCGGAATGTGATAATGAAATGGGAACCATCGAAGTATTTATTCCAGATTGCCTGGAATCTACTTGTGACGAATTATGAGTTGAAGGTGGGAAGTAACCACTTGCAGGAAGTGCAGCAAACTGTCCATTAACGAGAGGTGCAAACATGATGGGTTCGTCTTCTTTCGTTTGACCCCATCCTAAATTTCCAGATGGTAATGAGGATATATGCATCCTTTGTGACGAAAGTACAGAATCAAAATTTCTCTGTATTGCCTGCTGTGAAAGTACATCATTACTATTTCTCTCACACATATTATCAGTATTAGTGTAGAAGTGGTGCTGTAAATTGCCCTTTTCCCTGAGTTTTTGCAGTTCCATTTCATTTCTGTACAAAGACTGTTGATGAACAAACGGTTGCGCTATATCTGAAGATCGGAGAAATCTTTCCCACTGTGTAAATGGTGCCTTTCCATTTTTGATATATAACAACTGTCCTGAATCAGGCCACCATTCCTGAAGCTCTGTTTCTCTGAGAACGTCTTTGCACAAATCTTCCAAGCAAGAAAGTGATCCTCCTTGCTTGAACTTCCTTAAATCCATACCTGTGACATTACACAGAAATCGTAAATAGGATAAATCCCACTCACTTATCGTCATACTTTCTGTTAGTGAAACTGGAATTTCTTGTTGGACAGATATCAGGGGCACATATCTCTTTGTGCCTTTGCGGAGATATGGAATTAGGGATTTATTCAATATGACAAATCCACACTTGTCTTTATATGATTGATTATTGTTTGATGGAAATAACTTATTCCGGCACGTCTCTAAGAACTCGTAAAACATGCACGTGTCCTGCAGTCGGACCACTACATCTCTGGTGGTAAAAGATCGATATCCAAACTGAAATTCACAATGATGACCATTTATCTCATTTAATAATTTAGCCTCATTTTCGGTGATGTAATAACTCCTGATGTTCGTGCAAGTGAAGACCATCCACGGCAAGCTGTCCGCATACCTGTTGATGATTTTACTCTCCACCATTCGTACGGCCAGAAACCTCTCTTCTCCCCGAAGAATGAATGGTAAATTGACGCTGTTGATAGTAGTCCATCCGAATGCTCCTCGAATACTGGCGGCGTCGATGGGCGGAGGATGCGTTTCTTGGGGAGGACTGGAATGGAGGAGTTTCGCCACTGAGGTATTTCTGGCCTGAGACTGGGAATGGACAGGGGTTCGAGGAACTGGACGAGTGGTTGTGCTGTTACTGCCGCTGCTGCATTTCTTCTGCAAATTGTATTCATTGTCATCTTTACGTTCTTGTTTTACTTTTACACCAGATTCTTCTTTTGTTTTATGCTGGAGACAATTTACAGATACAGACAGATCTGCCATACTAGTCCCATGTTAATAGAGATTATATGGGTAGCAAACACTTTGGATACAAGGCATTGCACTTCCATAACTTCAGTTCAAATTACAAAATCTGTTTACATTTTGACATCATCTGTAAAAACAAACAAAACAAAAAAATAGTTATAATTTGATTCTTATATAATGAAAAGTGGCTTAAATTCTTATTTTTTAAATGAAATTAGAGGAAAAACATAATAAAAAAGGTTTTCTAAAATTTTTCATTTCAATGTAATTAAAAACTTAGAAAAATAATTATATAACGTTGCAATAATAAAAAAAAAAGCATGGAAAAGTAAAAATTTCCGAGGGGAAACAACATGAATCTGTTGAATAAATTAATAGGAATTTTTTAATACTCTTTCCGTGTCAGGGGATTTACGAGAATTACAAATTTTGATTAAACAAATCTTTCCAAACAGAAAACAAGACGATTAATATCGATTTACATATACTACTACCGGCAGATTGAATATTTTTTCCTGCATTAATAAACAAATGTCAATCATGCACTTTAAAATCCTCTACAAATCACATTAGAAACATTTTAAGCTTAACAAAAATATCCTGTTTCTAAACTCAAATAAAGCAATAACTCTATATCTTCATAAATAGAAAATTTCTGAAAACTTATTTATATATACATATAACATAATTGGAAATCGTTATTACTTAATGCAATCTCACTATTTATTATTTCTTGCTATGCTTGTCACAGTTTTGGACATACGATCCTTTTATCTTGTGTTTTAATGTCCGACAAACTCCAGAACAGTTTTGCGCAAAATTCTAAATAAGTGGAAAATATGCATCAACGGTGATGCTACACCTCTTGAGCTTCCCGAAAGCATTTTCTTTCCATTAATTAAGAAAAACTAAGTGTAATTTTATCATAGCTTTGAAATGGATACATCAGCTCCTCATTGGAATTAAATCATATGCCTCTGTGTCCTTATAGTTTAGTATTTAAAATGTCTACTCTGACTTATACCGTCGTCTTTGTTCAGCAAAATTTACGAAAGTCTATCAGAAAAAACACAGTCTTTACACAGGTGAAAAATAAAGACTGTGTTTTTTCTGATACACTTTCTTAAATTTTGCTGAACAAAGACAACTGTATAATAAATCCTGTTAATAAAATAAGTGAGTAGACATTCCTCATTGGAATAATATACTTTATTACAGCTTCTAATTTTTAAGCCTGTAAATGGTTGAGATTGACATAAGATGGCACATCTTTAAAAGAAAGAAGAAGAAAAAAACAACAGGAAATTAGCTCATAAATTCACTTAAAGTACTAAAATAACCTTAAGCAGCATACAACATTAAGAGTACCTTGTTAATCAGTGGCACACAATTGTAGGAAATAAATATTAAATATCAAGAATACTAGATGACAGTTTTCAAAATGGACCAAAAACAAATAAGGATATATATATATATATAACAATTCAACAAAGTCTAATTAAGTTGGACACTTTGCAATTAGCATAAAAATAATTTTTTAAGTTACATAAAATAATAAAAATAAGACTATAAAATAGCTTCACTTATACAGTAGTGTAGTAATTACCTTGTAATCACTACACTACAGTTGCATGAAGTTTGAAATCAATTAGAAAAGCTTTTTGGAGCTTCAATAATTGATTTCAAACCTCATATTTGGTTGATTACCAGTACATTAATACACCGGTTTGACATTACCGAACAAGAATGTCGACTCGAAAAACACTTTAATTACTTATTAAGTGACAATTTCATTATTTTCTGCCCGTCAAATTTATTTCTCGGATAATAACAAGGTTATCTTTTTGCTGCAGTACTGATGGTCGTTTCGAGTTTCTGCCCCCGCCGGCCCGAAATTGCTCGAGTTCCAAAACAGAGAATTAAGCCAAACGAATCATTTATTTATATCAATAAACGTATCGGATAAACTAATCCACAATTTAAGCTTTCTCGAAATTCATTAATCATCATTCAAACTTTATTATAAATCAGAATTTGATAACATAATTAAGAGAAAATGACACATTCAAATAAAATAACCCTTAATCACCAAACAAATTTAACATCCAGACTCAATCTAAACAATCACTCTAGAGAACATCAATCATTTATATTAACGGACGACTGTGTCAACTCGTATCGCATATAAATGGAAGAAGGTACCATTTCAAGTTCACCGCACAATTTACACTTCAGAACCGTCGCTTAATTATCTGAAAAAGTTCAATAATTACTCATAATATGCATACTTTATGCTATTTTTAAACCTGAAATGGTAAAACGGTTTCCTAAATCTGTAATTAAATTACATCCGAATGGTGATTAGCCATCATCTGAGCAATAATAAAATGCGCAATAAAGCATAATTTTAGAATCCAAAAAAATGTCTTTCTTCGTAATTAATTAAACTGTTAAAGAAAATCATTCGTCTTCCGAATCCATCTTCAAAAGTTATTCATTTTAGTTTAAAATTTTATTAAATCTATTAAATAGTTATTGCAGTTTGAGTGAGTTAGGTCACCAACCTACCCATATCAAAGCTAATTAATCATCACATGTGAGCTGTGAACTAGTTTGAAAATACCGTACATTAACAGTGTGGGAGAAAACATTTGTCACGGCACTAGATACAAAATTTCCTCCATTAATAATAAATTATGAGGAGAGTGACTTAATTATTGCGCCGTCCTATAAATAGACAACCTTATGTCAATTCTATGACATTCTTGGAAGAAATACTTCTAATTGTGTAACAATTATAAAGTGTTATTGTAATGATAATAAATGCCAATTCTAGCTCTAAACTAAAAAATAACATTAAATGTAAGTTGACAATCAAATCAGATTACTGTTAAATAGAGTATTGCAGTTTGTAACCTCAAAAATTATACAATTAAACACAAATTTAGAATTCTCAAACGTTGCTTAAAAATCTCAAAGGTTTGTTTCGACATTCAAGTGTAATTCGCATAAAAACTAAAACTGCGATTTAAAATATATTAATATTATCTTAATCGACGATAAGGCACAATATTATGAAATTGGAGAAAGACTTAGTAAGATTATTCAACTTATTAAATGTACTAAGAACAGGAAATTGCCATATTATAAACCGAATGTACAAATGTAAAGAATTAAAGTAACAAAATGACATTATCAGAACACAGTTGAGTACAGTCTAACCATGACTGAGCTATTAGGTTACACACAAATTCAATAAATTGTATTTATTGCCATGTGCATCTGATTATAAAATTAATGAAGAGTCTAGAAAATGAGAAAAAACTGCGTATAAAAAAATTGGGTGTATTATACAACTTATTTCTATGTCTTTAATAAACTTTAGTTCATAACGAGTAAAATTTTGAAAAATCTATGAAGTAAAATAGCACAAGGGAGAAGGAAGAGTTCATTTATGCAACATATAAATTTATGAGAACATTACATTATTAAAGGTTATTATTAAACTGCATGAGCTACTCAAAGGTATTTTATTTGGATTAAGAGCCGTTCGTTCTATCAATTTTTAATCAACTGCGTGAATACCGCTTTCCGTCAAAAACTGTCAGATAAATCAATATAATTGCAGGTGTTTCTCTATTGTTGAGCAGACGCAGTATTGTATATTCATAGCATATTGCCATACAGCTTTTAAATGCTTTGGGTGTTTGGCAAACTATATTGCTATTGTAATATGTTCCGTCGAAGTGCTAGCGGTCTCATTTTTGTATCGCCATTCGTCTCGGTTCCGGTAATAAGATACAAAGTGTTAGACTTGTTTTGATAACATTTGTATTATTCATTTTTTAAATATTTTATTTATTAAATTCAAAAATTTTATTGATAATTCAAACAGGAATTTTTACACAGTTGAGTAGTCAAGCCCATTGTTTTTCAAGGACAAAGGGGAAAAAATATATGATCGATGAATGATTTCTTCTAGTATAAATTGATTGTAAAAGCTCACTAATTCTGGAATCCACAGAATTCTTTATTTTTGATGGCAAAGGAACCCTTTTATACAGTCTCTCTCTAGGATGGTTTTAAAATTGATTTTTTTTCCCACATCCCAGACAATTGAAATTCCACTGTGATGTTTTATTATATCCACAACAAAGTAATATTGTTATTGAAAAAATGCCGAAGATGTCGACGAATGCGCAAGAAAATTTTTTCCCCTCTTTTCCTATACAAAACAAGATTAATGTTTTTAGACCATCATTTTTGCTCTCCTTTTTTTCCTCCTCCTTTTTTTTAGTACAATACAAATATTGTAATCCTTTCAAAATTCATTTGGGATGAAAATAAATGAAATTCTGTTAATCTTTTGCTTACTGTTTCCCATGCCGTAATTCTGACCGACTTTTAACTTCTAATTTACAGGCGCAACCTGTAGATATCCTTTAAGAGAAGCATGACTACTCATCAATCAACTGATGACAGTCTTTTTTTCCCCTCTCTCTCTGCTTTTCATACTTTTGCATGTTATCTCCACTTTTCTTAATTCTTCATTTTATAACAATCTCTTTGGTCATGCTTCGGCTATTCCATTTTACAATGGTGACTAACCAAATTAATAACCTAAGACTGCATGAAAATAAAGTGAAAGTTAATCCAAATTTCTACGTAATTTCCAGAAAATTAAATTTAACCCGGTCGTAGCCGTCATTAAAAAACCTTTTAGCGATTCTTCGATAACAACAACATAATATTTGGACCGCGTTGAGAGTTACAACTCCTTATAAAATAAAGGAATAATTAAGTATAATTACACCATTAAAAACATTTAAAGAAAGAGGGGATAAAAAAAGAAAAACACATTTATCTTTAATAAACTTTTACTAATTATCTCTGGTTGGACAATTAGTCAAAGCTTAAAAAATGCAGTTATCCCCGAAATCATTGTTAATTTTCCAATACAAAAACTGACTTATAATTGTCGTTATTTTATTGGAAACAGATGAAGGAATGGTGCCAGGACAATAATGGAGAACGGAATAACCCATGTACGTCATACTCCGATTTGCCGACATATTATAAATGCACTTATAAAAGATACATTCTAACTATCTTATCAGAAAACAATAC